CATATATATACATAAATATATATATCATATATATATATGAATGTGTGTGTGTGTGTATATGCTTATATGTATGTATATGCTTCTGTATTAATGTGTGTAAGTATGTATGTGTGTGTCCGAACGTGCATATGCTCCTCCTCAACCAATTTCACCACATAGTTTTTCTAATGTGTGAGCAATGTTTTGATGAACATGCCCTGTATTATCGTTGAGCTTGGAGACTTCTTGCGTGCGTGTGTATGTGTTTGATTGGCACTTAATTTGGTGTACAAAGAAACTTTTGCTGCCATCTGGAAAAAAATATTTACACATTTTCCTATCCTCCGAAACTATTATTAGGAATTATTTTCTGTTTTATATATCAAATGTTATCTTTTTCTGATATGGTAAATCACATTTTGAACAGAAAATGAACTTTTGTAAAGGACTTATAAAGTCCTTACATAACAACGGTAAATATGTTTTAAGATCCGGTACAGATCTACATATTTTAAATTAATTTCATAATCACTTCATAGATGCAATACGGAACACATCATAATAGCCTTCTTTAGGTTTTAACACAGCGAATTCCGAAGTAATTACAGATCCTCCACTAGATAGGTCCGAACAAGCACGACCTACCCGTCTTGAGTCCAACGCTGACTGCCGGTTATCATTGCCGGACATCTTTTATATACTTGGCCGTGCCTTTGGTTTCATTCATTTCTTTTCTATCTTGGATTCCGCCGATATTATGGCATCGAGCTTGAATGCCCCGAAGTTGTGGTGTAGCCAAGGGATTTGCTTTAATGGGCGTGTTTTTTGTGACTGCAATCAGACTATTATGTATCAGACGCTGGTTTTGGTTTTGATACTTGACTAGCTTAACGTGGCAGTTGAATATCTAAGTCTAAGTCTGTATGTGGCTTACTGTATGCATAGATGAACCCTTCAGTTATGCGTGGGTTATTTTTTCATGTTAGGTTGGATTATAGGGCAGTTCATATGTTGATTTTCATTATAAACAAATCAATTCTGAGATGGTTATGGTCGTTGTGTAAATTAGAAAATTCATAGACCATACAGATTATCTTTTTCTTTTATCCTACGTCTTACTTTACTTCACAGTGATATCTGTGTGTGTGTGTGTGTGTGTGTTTGTATATATATATACATATATATATGCATGCATGTATATACACACATGTATACATAAGTAATATATATATGTGTGTGAGAATACATAGATATATAGATGCACATGTATGCGTATATGTATATATACACTTACACACTTAGAGAGAGAGAGATGTATGTATATACAAGTGTTTATATGTATACATTTACATATATGTGTGTGTATGTGTACAAATATATATATATTTGTATATGTATATATATATATATATATATATATACATGTACACACACACGCATATATATATATGTGTGTGTGTGTGTGTGTTTACATGTGTGTATATGTATGTGCATATAGAGATGAGATATATGTGTGTATGCGTACATGTGTGTGTGTGAGTGTGTGCGCGTGTGTGTGTGTGTATGTGTGTGTGTGTGTGTGTACATGCATATATATATGTGTGTGTGTGTGTGTGCGTGTGTACGTGTGTATGTGCCTGTGTATGTGTGTGTGTAAATATGCATATATATACACATATATAATTGTATGTATATATAGTACGATATATATGTACATATGTATATATATGTGCGTGTGTAAATATATAAACGTTCATATACATATCTACATATATAGATGTATGTATGTATTTATGTAAATATACCTATATATACATATCTATGTTAATATCCATATATATATGTGTGTGTGTGTATGTGTCTGCGCATGTCTGTGTGTGAGTAGAACATTGAAGGGAAGTACAGAAAAACACACGAGATAGGTCCGATAGGTACTTCCCTTCATTGTTCTACTTGCAATTTGTTCGACATGAATTCCACATGTCTGTGTGTGTGTGTGTCCGTGTGTGTGTATGCATGTATGTATATATGTATATATATATATACATATAAATATATATATACATATATGAATGTATGTATATATATATATACATGTGTGTGTATGTATGTGTGTGTGTATCTATATGTATATGTATACATACATATATATATATATGTGTGTGTGTGTGTGTGTGTATTTTTATGTATATAAATATATGACTGTGTTATTAGAAAAAAATGCTTATGAACATTAGGTTAAAACATTCACATTTGTTTTCTTTTCTACGTATAAGAAATCAGATATGTATACATATATATATATATATACATTTATATATATATATATATATATATATATATATATATATATATATATATATATATATATATATATATATATATATATATATATATGACTGTGATATTAGTAAAAATGGTCATGAACATTAGCTTAAAACATTCACATTTGTTTTCTTTTCTACTTATAAGTATATTATATGTTATGGCATATTCAAATTCCTAACTGATCTATAATTATTTTCAAACAGTTTAGAATATGAGAGAGAACAAAAACAGGACAAATTGCACTGGTCCGGCTGAGACAGAATTGAAAACCAGAGACAACCGATGCTTCGCCAATTTGCAGTTGTCGTTTTATATCAACATTCCGACCACCAAATCGTGTGTCGCGTTTTCTTTTCGTTGAATAATTGCATTCTTGAAATTACATATATTGTTAGATACATAGATGAGTTGATGGATGCTTTCAGAGATATTGTTATAGACATTTTTAGGTGACTACACACACACACACACATACACACACACACACACACACACACATACGCATGCATGCATACATACATATATATACACACATATGTTTGTGTGTGTGTGTGTGTGAATGTTTATATATATATACATCTTGTGTGTGTGTATGAACATGTATGTATGTATATTCACACACATACAGGCGCGTACACACACACACACACCACACACACACACACACATACACACACACACACACACACACATACACACACACACACACACACATATATATATATAGATAGATTTACTTATTTGTATATGTATATATGTATATATATATAATGATAGGAATAATGACATTACTAATAGCTGCGTTACGTAACTTTTCTGTAACGATGATGATAATACAGTTTGGCATATTTTATGAATAACTGATTTGTTTTTTGGGCTGGAAGCATATAGAAATTGGCTTCATAACAAACAATTACTTGACGTGCAACCCCATTCAACCCCAAAGATCAGAAAATCCGAAGACTGAGCATGTCTCCGTTGTCGTCGTGTCAGGCTGTATTAAATCAGACATCCTAGAGCACAGTACCCCAGTACCCCCAGTTTGGCAGTGGGAAAAAACCTATGCTGGGAAAGGTATCTTACAATATAAGCGAGGAGGCTTATCAGATTGAATGTTTTTCTTCTTTTATTGTTTCTTCTTCTGCTTCAGTAAAACAATGTTCTTTTTCAAGAAATTCATTAGTATGCTCATGATACTCATTTTTTACAAACTAATATCTGAGGAAATACTATTTTTTTCTCTCTCTCTCTATTTGTGAGTTTTGTAGTAACTTTAATTGTAAACTTTGTTTCTTGTCAAGCATTCAAAGGGAAATGTAAACTACATCTATCAATGTATTTATGAAATGGTATTAGAATGGTAGTGTATTACTTTCCTAATATATTAATATATAATCTGCACTGCATAACATACGAGTAAAGAAAAAATAGTTCCATGTGTATGGTAATTCTGATCTTTCTTATCATTATTGCAATAGTAAAATTTCTCTCAAAAATCTATCGCAAATACATAGTCATTAGAATTTTTTTCTAGTTTACTTTTCATAGGGAGTAACGTATAAACATAAACACACACACACACATATGTGTGTGTGGGTGGCTGTAGGCGTGTGCGTATATATACAAGTATTTGTACATACATGAATATATGATACCTTAAACACATATAGATATGCATATATATAAATATATATGTATATGCATATGTGTGTGTGTGTGTAAATATATATAGAGAGAGTGTGTGTATAAATCTGCATATACAATAAAATCCTCTTTTCTTGTATATATAAAACTTACTATACATTTTTTTTCTGCTTATTTTTCTTAGATAAAATGTTTAGATAAACAGAAGTAATCCACAAACAACTTTTCCTATAAGGACTTTGTCTAGATTTTGTTTTAATTCTCATTAAATTAAATTTGCATTCCGATCAACAATCAGACAAATATCCAAATATTCTAATAATTATCAGATGTCATAAGTGCAATATAGATTTGATTTCGAACTTTTACCAGCATCAATACTTCAATATTACATATATAGTTAATAACTCCAGTTGAAGCAAATCTTTTAAGATTATTTTCCATAAAATAACGTTTTATCGATTCCTTATATGTATATACATATTTATAAAAATATACATATATTTACATATATGTATGTATATATGTCTGTATGTATGTATATATTTATGTGTGTGAATGTTTATATGTTTATATATGTATGCATTTATATGTATATACATGCATATACAGCTAGCTAGATGAATAGAGGAATATATGTATTTTTCACTGTATTCTTTCTAACATAGAAATTTCAGTGCACCCAACACTGTTATTCAATTTCTGTACCATTTTCAGTGGGTACTAGGAGGATTCTATATAAATCTTCACAAGAATTACTTCTGGCATAAGTAAATAAGCAATTGCTATGGAGCTAGTAAGATACTAGTTAAACAATCATTTTGTTGGGATGTATGGTCATGTTGGTTATGGATTGCTCACTGTATGTCATACCTAAAGTGGAGAGATTCGAGTCATTGTCATGAAGGATAGTTTTACATAGATCGATTCATTTGTACACTTCTGCCAGGTGTGTATAGATTATCATTATTATTAAACAATGTAAAACTTTTTATGGTCAGATTATCACCTTATATGTATCCATGCACTAGGAAATATTCAAACAATAATTATTAAAAGTACATCATAAATTCATCCAGTACATCTTTTTATGGTTAAAAAGTTGAGTTACTGGGCGTTAATACCCATGACGTTGATGTGAAGAATGGATTAAACCGCCTGCTGTGTGAGTGTCCATTTTAGAAACACTTGCGGTGGACGATGCCGGGGCCAGACTCTTCGTACTCGTCCTTGGTGATCCACATGGTCTGGAAGGTGGACAGAGAAGACAGGATGGAACCACCGATCCAGACGGAGTACTTACGCTCAGGAGGAGCAATGATCTTGATCTTGATGGTGGAAGGAGCAAGAGCAGTGATTTCCTTCTGCATGCGGTCAGCAATACCAGGGTACATGGTGGTACCTCCAGACATGACAATGTTAGCAAACAGATCCTTCCTGATATCAATGTCGCACCTCATGATGGAGTTGTGGACAGTTTCCTGAATACCAGCAGATTCCATACCAAGGAAGGAAGGCTGGAACAGAGCCTCAGCGCAACGGAAACGCTCGTTGCCAATGGTGATGACCTGACCGTCGGGAAGTTCATAGGACTTATCAATGGAAGAGGAAGCAGCAGCAACATTCATCTCACTCTCGAAGTCAAGGGCGATGTAGCAAAGCTTCTCCTTGATGTCACGAACGATTTCACGTTCAGCGGTGGTGGTGAAGGAGTAGCCACGTTCAGTCATAATCTTCATCAGGTAGTGGGTCAGGTCACGACCAGCAAGATCCAGACGAAGGATAGCATGAGGAAGAGCGAAACCTTCATAGACGGGGACAAAGTGAGTCACACCGTCACCAGAGTCACAAACCTCACCAGTAGTACGACCGGAAGCGTACAGGGACAGGACAGCCTGGATGGTAACATAGGTGGCAGGTACGGTGAAAGATTCGAACATGATCTGAGTCATCTTCTCACGGTTGGCCTTGGGGTTGAGGGGAGCCTCAGTGAGAAGTGTGGGGGACTCCTCAGGGGCAACACGGAGTTCATTGTAGAAGGTGTGGTACCAGATCTTCTCCATGTCGTCCCAGTTGGTGATGATACCGTGCTCAATAGGGTACTTGAGAGTCAGGATACCACGCTTGCTCTGGGCCTCATCACCGACGTAGGCATCCTTCTGACCCATACCGACCATCACACCCTGGTGACGGGCACGACCGACGATGGAGGGGAACACGGCACGAGGGGCGTCGTCTCCGGCGAAGCCGGCCTTGCAAAGGCCAGAGCCATTGTCTACCACAAGGGCAACAAGATCCTCGTCGTCACACATATTGGCGGTGGGTGTCTATGGATTCCTTTCTAGAAGTAAGAAAAAAAATTAGCTTTTCCCTCGATGACGAATGTACACAAGCACACGCATACATATGTATGTTTGTATGTATATATGCATAATCCACGTTCATATAACCTTTACAGTAGTAAGGTACCGGTATTTCACATTCAAAATTTCCATGTACTTTTTTACATCATAAAATTACTTCGTGCTAGAAAGAGATACATTAAGACATATATACAACGGTTTCTTTGGTCAGAAATGGTTATATCATATTTTATAGTTAAAACCTGCATTTTACAAGAGGTTTGTTTGTATTTTCAGAAACATTATTTAAACAGATAATAAGCTACAACTTGATTTTGTAAAATATATATATTTATATCAGGCGCACAAATTATGTGGGTGTGTACATGTATGCTTTTTTTCGTATGAAAGAATCATTTTTTTAAATTCACCTAAATAAATAATCTGTGTCGGCCTTTATTAAAACAAAACCAAAATGAATATGATAAGCCTCCTCGCTTATGTCGTAGGATACTTTTCCCAGCACAGATTTATTCCACTGATAAACTGGGGTGCCATCCTCTAGGACTGAAGTATTAAACAAATCATATATCTTTGCATGCGTGTATGTGTTTGTATATGCTTGTATATGCATATATGTACTGTACTGTTCCTTTCTACGCACACATATATGTATATATATATACAGACATGCACACACACATATATCTATAGATATGCATGTGTGTGCATATATATATTATATATATATGAGAGTGTGTGTGTGTGTGTATGCTTATATGTATGTATATGCTTCTGTATTAATGTGTGAAAGTATGTATGTGTGTCCGAACGTGCACATGTTCCTCCTCAACCAATTTCACCACATAGTTTTTCTAATGTGTGAGCAATGTTTTGATTCTTGCATCTAATGCACATGTCGTGTATTAGAATATCGTTGGGCTTGGAGACTTTGTGCGTGCGTGTGTATGTGTTTGATTGGCACTCAATTTGGTGCACAAAGAAACTTTTGTTACCAACTGGAAAAAATATTTACACATTTTCCTATCCTCCGAAACTATTACTAGAAATGATTTTCCGTTTAAAATTTCAAATGTTTTCTTTTTCTGATACGGTAAATACATGTTGAACAGAAAAATGAAATTTTGTAAAGGACTTTATAAAGTTTCTGCATAACAACGTATGTTTTAAGATCCGGTGCAGATCTACATATTTAAATCAAATTCATAGTCACTTCATAGATGCAATACGGAACACATCATAATAGCCTTCTTTAGATTTCAACACAGCGAATTCCAACGTAAATACAGATCCTCCACTAGATAGGTCCGAACAAGCACGACCTACCCGTCTTGAGTCCAACGCTGACTGCCGGATATCATTGCCGGACATCTTTTATATACTTGGCCGTGCCTTTGGTTTCATTCATTTCTTTTCTCTCTTGGATTCCGCCGATATTATGGCATCGAGCTTGAATGCCCAGAAGTTGTGGTGTAGCCAAGGGATTTGCTTTAATGAGTGTGTTTTTTTGTGACTGCAATCAGACTATTGTATATCAGACGCTGGTTCTGGTTTTGATACTTAACTAGCTTAACGTGGCAGTTGAATATCTAGTCTAAGTTTGTATGTGGCTTACTGTATGCATAGATGAACCCTTCAGTTATTCGTGGGTTATTTTTTCATGTCAGGTTGGATTATAGGGCAGATCATATGTTGATTTTTATTATAAACAAATCATATCTGAGATGGTTATGGTCGTTGTGTAAATTAGAAAATTCATAGACCATACAGATTATCTTTTTCTTTTATCCTACGTCTCTCTCTCTATCTATCT